TTTCATTATCCCTGAGTTTTTCTTTAAAGCTCCTTCAGAGGTGCCTAAGGAAGAAGAGTGAGGTGGGGCAGAAGGGGGAGAGACTGGAATTCTGGCAGGCTGTTAAATTTGTGTGTTAAATTTGTCCATTCTTACTTTAGGGAAGTAAGATCAAGTTTCTGGTTGAAATCAGCTCTGATGTGGCAGTCAGCTGCCCTGTGGACTGACCTTAATGACGAAGATGTTTTCTCTGTTTTTACTTTGGAGGTTAGGGAATAAAGTTACATAATATAGGTGAAAACAGTGCTGGTACCAAGTGTTTTCTAAGTACAGCAATAATGTAACTTCCATCGTGGCTGCAGACAAGAAACTTACTTGCAGGGCCTGAAATTTAGGCAGTCCTAGAAAATGCACAGCTGTTTTTTCTACAGAACGTAAGCAGTTGTTGTTGTTTTTGTGAAGAGATAATTATAATGAGTTCCACACTGGAAAGTTTTCCTCCTGTTATCTTGGATTATTATTTTTCTTAATTATTTTTTTGTGAGGAGTAAGAAGAATGTGAGTTTGGTCATTTGGCCTTTCGCCTTTTGAAACCTGGAGTGGAGCAGTGCAGCTGCCCCGTTGTTGTCCTGCTGTCCCGAGCTTGGCGGCGCTGCTTGGAAAGGACGGGATAAGGGCAGTTGTGGTCATGGAGAGGGGCTGGAGGCAGCAGGTTTTTTAAGCGTGAGCGAGGCCCTGCGGAAGGACAGGGACCTGCCCCGGCTTGGAGACTCATGGCCATGGATGCTTCATCCCAGCGGGAATCTGTGCTGGCGCCAGCATAAAAGCCTAAGCCTCCGCTTTACTTGGGATTTCAGAGTTTCTTGGGAACGGTCTAAGGCGTCATCTTCGTATTCTTGTTTATGGAGCTTATTGGCAGCTTGAAATGCCTCTACTGACCTCGTTAGTAATGAGGACCTACTTATTGCTGACTAGGGACTTTGCCAGCATTTTCCCCCCTCCATACACTGTTAGTGTGGAAAGGGAATTTGCCTGAAGTAACAAGTAAGTCAAAGTGCATTTTGTTTGGATTTTTGTTTGGATTTTGTTTGGATTTTCCTCCTCCAAGATAACAGGGGTAAAATAGAGCCACAGAACTGGGAGTAGACAGAAGTACTAACCTTGTCCTCTCTCCTTTCCAGATGTACCAAACTTTGCCATCAGAAGCCTTTGGATCTGAAAGATGATAACACTGAAAAACACTGTCCCGTTACAGTGAATCCATGGCACATGAAGAAAGCTTTCAAAGTGATGAATGAATTAAGAAGGTACTACTTTACTGCATGCATCTTCCCACTGTCCCTAATAAGTTTCATTTGCATGCATTAAGTTCTAAAAAGTGGAATATGCAAACTCAGAGTTGGAGCTGATAAAGTGAAATATACAATAAAATGATATCTGAATGATAGTCATGTGGTGTAATGGGTACACTATCCCTTTGCCCCTCAAAAGTTAGGCAGAGCTGGCTTTATGGGACTGGAAAGACACTTGGAAGATGTTAAGGAATTACAGCTATTGATCCTGTGTTGGATATAGTTGATCCTGGACAGATTAAAAGCTACCTTTTAATTGAGCCTGACACTCTTAATATGTCTGTCATTGATTTTTCACAGCGGTCTGCAGACTGACAAAATGTTAAAATTTTTCGATCTGGCGACACAGTTCCCACTCTAACAAATGTAAAGCAACTGACAGTAGACTTTCTTTTCTTACTCTTCTTTTGCCTGTCCCCTGGAAGAATTAATGAACTCCCAGAGGGCTATGAATCTTATGCTGAAAATCGCTTTTTGAGATAAAGTTTTGTAAGACCTTGAGCGAAACCACCATCAGCTTCCGCAGAAGTGGGAGACTGGTGCTGTTCTTAGCACCCATATTGATTTATTTTGTGCAGATGGGTAGGTGAGATGGTGCTGAAAGCTGTGACAGCTGGTAATTAGAGCTCACAACTGAGCTCTGGTAATTAGGGCTCACAACTATCACTGACAGTACTTGAGCTTCATAGCTAAAAGCAACAATGAAGAAATAATAATAATAAAAAACCCTCCAGCATAGATAATACCTGGAGGTGCTCAAAATCCTGTAGCCTGCTGCTGTGTCTTGTATGAGCTTAAAAATTGGAGAGGCTTCATTTGGTAAATAAAACCAGCAACTAAGAACTCATAAAAGATGTCTACTTCTTTGATCTTCTCTTATTCTTTATGAGTAAACCTTTAATACCATGGTAGGTACTCTGATCAGTTCAATATATTTATCTAGCTTTGACTTTTTTTTTGTACTGGAAGACTGGAGAAAATCATATATTCTGACTGAAAATGCTTTAAAACTAGTGCAAGGATTCCCATAATCTGAGGATAATGAGGCAAAAGCAGAAACTATTTCTTTTTCAGTGTGTAAGAGCTTAGTTAGCTGATGCTGGAAGGAGGACTCAGTAACTGGGTTCACTGTCTCAAGCAGTATGGCAGAGCACCAGTAGACATAACTCTGTGCAGGTGAGGAAGACTTTAGGTAAAGAAACCACCTGCTAAGGAAAGATTGTTTTCTGTATCTAAACTCTTGGCTTCTTAAATGATGGCAGTTTCAGAAGTACTAAACCTTACTTAGATTCTTTTGTACTGCAGGTAAAACAGACCTGATCTTCCAGCAGAGTGCGTTGTTGAAGGCTGTGGCTTATTTTAAGAATATACTCTAGTTTCCATGGTTACTTAAATTCGGATCGCTGTAGAAGCGATTTGAGGAATTTTCTCACACTTATAAATAGTCCAAGTTTGAGCAATGCCAGGTGAACCTTAAGTGGGGTTCTCCTTAGGGTAGCTGACACGTCACTATTTAGTTGAGAACGTTGATCTCATGTGAGCACAGCTTCTCTTAAAATGTAATGTGTCAATTAGGTAAGATTAAAATATTTACATTTATTTAAATTTGAAATAATAAACTTAAATATTTTAAATCAGTTTCAGTCTTGATTACTCAAAATGAAGACTTAACTTTAATCAAGTTGATGATATTTCAGGTTTTATTGACTATATTGTTAAGGAGGTTTCCATCTCAGTTCCTTCTGTTAATGCAGTACAAGTAGGTATTTGCCACAGCTATACTGTCTTGGAACTGTACAAGTAATGAAGAAATCTTCTCCTGAAACACTCTAAAATCTATTATTTATCCAGAGTGCTCAAATCCGAGGGTGTGTGTTAAATTTTTGGCTGCTGTCAAGTTACCTGGTTTTATTAACCAATAAGAATTTTTCCTTGCTTTCAATTTTGACATTTTTTTGAATTTTGCTTTGAGTAATTTTGTCCTTGGTAATTTGTATCATTTCTCTGCTCACCATCACCTCAACACTGAGTCAGAGAACTATTAGGATATCTAATTAGTTTACGACATATGAAGAAACAGCACTTGAATGTTGTCTCTGTTCTTCATTATAACTCACTTTTTTCATCATGGGATTTAACCTCACCTAAAAGAGACTTTACTAAATAAGACTTTACTTTTTTTTTTTTTTTTTTTTTTTGATGTGAATAGTGACCTTTTTCCCCTACACCCCAATGGATACAGATTTGCAGGTAGACAAATAATGTTTTTGCCCTCCTTCCACCTCTTGAGGGTGTTCTGCTGTGGCTCTTCGCATTCAGCCAGTCTCTACAAGTGGATTGTTAAAAATTGCAGCAGAACGTAAGCAAAACAAATTAGGTGGCCAACTTGAAATCAGTGTGCCAAATGGCTGTAGAAGCCACAAGATGCGTGCACCAGAGTATGTAATTCAGCTTGAGCTTATCAGCCCTGCAGGGCTTGTTCACCTAGTGCAGTTCCAGCCTCTGTAGATGTGTTTGGGCTCTTCCCAGCATAAGCAATTGTGTCTGTATTGTGCCATGTAGCTAATGAGCTCGAGTTTTGCACTGATGTACACTCAGTGCTTCAGGCTTCTCTGTTAGCTTTGCTATCTCTGTGCAACCACATATAAAACATTTTGTGTTGCTGTTGTCCATATCTCTGGAAAAGCTGGGTATGTGGCTGATGACCGCTTGCTTGGCCACTTTCTGTGTCAACTTTAAATGTAAGGGCCGATGCTCTCAAGCTCCTCTGTATTCCATGTTTCATATGGGCCTGGTCATGGCACAAATGATAATTTTTTTTGATAATAACCATATTGCAGCCTCAGCTATTTACTGCAAGTGCTAGGAGCTGAAAGTGGAAGAAACAACCAAGCAAACCCTAAGGCAAGGCCTGCAATGTGGCCCTCAATCAGCAGGAGCAGGAAGAGGGGCTGTTGGCTTGACACAGGGCTCTGGCCCCGCTGTCAAAGCACCCTCTTTTCTTTCCTCCTCCTCCTGTTTGTTGCTCTTGCTCCGAGTTTTGTCAGTTTTATGTTAGTTTTGTAAACACACCTCCAGAATCAGGAGAAACTAAAAGATGGCTGTTTAGCTGCTGGGATACTGCAGCCTTTTTTACTTCTTTTTTGAGGGGTAAAAAAAAAAAAAAAAACACAAGTCTGATGATAAAGATCAACAGTTGTGATGGATTTAATTGGAAGATATATATTCAGTAGCTGTAAACTGCATTGGAAACATTTGTGTTAGGAATGCTCAAAAAAAGAGATTACTGCAACAGAAGAAAAAGGAAATACTATGTGTTACAGTTAAAAAAAGACAGGCATACAAGTGAATATAATGAAGATAAAAATTGCAACAGAATATGGAGTTAACTAAAATTCTAAAGTAATTTTAGTTTTTTTTTTAAAAAAAGCTATTGTGTGCATGAACTGTGTATGAAACACACTTGAAAAATATACCTTAAATATAATCTAGTAATGGTTTTAAACGCTTGCGTAGGCGTGAGATTCCAGTGTTGTACCCAGAGATCACAACTGAAGTCTGTGTTTCTCATGATCTGGAAAGTCAGGAAGTTTCTTACCTCAATTTGCTAGTGTTTGTGCATATCAAATTCCTTTTTTCCATCATAGATGTTAAAAGAGGCTCAGACTTCCAGTGAAAAGGTTTATCAATTAGATCCAAATTTGAGTTATCGAGCACAGAAAGCTTTTTCTCTATGTCAGAAACCACAATTCAAAGCCCAATTGAATTATTTGCCTTGAGGAAGTCCTGTGTACCCAAGCACCATCTGTAATCCTACTGAGTAAGAGTCATGTGGTTTTGTAACACATTTAAAACATTGCCTCATCAACGTTGTCTCCCACCTCTTTTTGAGGGTACAAGAAGAGAAATCCTGTGATGTTGTATGTTTTTTTGCTGTAGTTTGCATATGTAAAACCCCTTTCTCTGGTATTTCTGAATAGTCAGAACTTGCTGTGTGATGTGACGATAGTAGCTGAAGACATGGAAATTGCAGCGCATAGAGTTGTGCTAGCCGCCTGCAGCCCCTACTTCCATGCCATGTTTACAGGTACCAAAAGTTTCAATACTTTCTTCTAATCCAGTCCAACTGTGTAAAGCTCAAAATTAATTTAATTATGCTTTTGAGAATCTTATTTAATCTGTAAATAAGATAATCGGAGGCTTGTGCGTGTGGTGGGGCATGAATTTGTTCTCAAGTTAAGGACATCCTGGCATCTTAATCTTAGTCAATATGCTGCATGCTTTTAAGAAGTCTCCTTTATGTAGACAAATTTACATGTTAAATAAGCCAGGAACAGGAGAGTTGTTATACCCCTTTGTGGCTACAATTATCTTACTCGTACAAAAGAAGGTTAAAAGAACTTTCATTGGAGTTTTGCAGTAAATCGTGTCCCGTAACAGCTGTTCTTCCTGCTGCTGCATTCTTCAGGCTCCGAGTGTTGTGGGCTGCTGGTAGATGGGGAAGCTGCGTGCCTGGTCCTTAATGGAAACTGGCTGAGATAGAGAGAATTCCCTGCAGCACGTTGCTTGTGGCCACTAGCTCGGGTTCAGTCAGAACGGTGACTCTGGCCATGCCAGTGTATGCAAGCAAAATGGAATTTTATTAACAATAATACTTGTTCGCCATTGGAAGGTTGATACAATTTGGAATACTTTAGTATCCTGGGGAAGAAGCTAATCGTTAGCAATCACTTCATTGCAATTGAATAGGTATATAATCCAGCATGTTCTTAGTTTGTTTAATGCATATCATATATAATATGGGTATTTCGACACAGCCAGAGCTAAACAACGAGTCAGTGCTAGCAGAAACAAATGCTTTATGTCCTATGTGTAGAATAGCACGAGCTCCCTCGAGTAGCCATTTCTCAAGCAGGTCTTTGCTTTTACATCTGTGCTGGAGACAAACACTCTGAGAAAGTGAAGCTCTCTGTTTTTGCTTCTGTGTGTTGCATTAACACAAAAACACCTGTCATCAGTTTCTATCCTTCATCTTAATAATAAACCTTTTAAGCACTGTTGTTGACTTTCACATTGGAGATGGTCTTTCTCAGAGTTTAATTCTATGTTTCACACCCCGTGGCAGGGATCCTGCTTCCTGCCTTTCCCACAGAAATTTGTGGCCCTCTGGGTGTGCCAATGCAGCTCCATGTGGCCGCTCTCCAAATGGCATTGCTGAAATCCTTGTTTTCTCACTTCACTACCTCTTAGAAAAGTTGCTTGCCTTATGCTTTAAAATGCAAGTTTTCAGGGCTACCCTGTGGTGCAGAGCTCGCCTCATGGAAGGCTGGGAACCTTTTAACCCACTTATGGAAATGTTTGTGTGGTTGCAGTGAACCAGGTCATGGAGGTTTCAGTAGAATGCCAGACTGGCTTTGAGATTTATCGACAGGTTTTGGACCATCGTTATATGTGGTTTTCAGCAAGGACCACCTCTGCTTTTGGTGCATTTCAGCAGTTCTCCGCAGAGCTAATTCCAAAGTTCAAATCAGCAAATTTGTTCCATTAACCAGCTATAGCCAAAAGGAAAGTCTCTTCCATCTATGGCTGAAAACTGATGACTGAAAACAGATTTGAAAAACTTGCACTTCTATGCTACAGGAATACTTGTTCTTGATTTGAAATTAGAAGCTTATTTTTAGCCACGTTTGCGTGTTCCTTCCATCTTCCTCTGAGTCATTAGGTGCTGCCTCCTGTGCAGGACAGGGAATGGCATTGGCTGTGATCAAACCCCTCACCTAAGGGTTTGTCTTTTGCCACTCGTTACAATGGTAGAAGTAGCCACATGGTACCTTTTTCTTTCTAGGTACTTAACGTTTAGTAAGTTAATAATGATTATGTTTTAAGAAACAAGAGGGGAAAAAGGAAAAGGATAAGAATGTAGGGCAGCATATGTCAGAAGGAATAACTCTTCACTCTATATACAGTGCAGTTCTTCAGAAATGTTGTGAATGCACTTAAAAGACTGGAGCCAGGAAGACAAAACCTCGGTGAAGGGGAACTTCAGTGGCCACAGGACCTGACTTGGGACGTGTGTGACCTGAGTTTAGTTTTGTGTGTCACAGCAGTTATCTTTTAGGCAACTACCTGATTTCTTCACTTCCATACATTTCTTCCTTCTGTAAAATTATATAAAAGGAACCAAAAGCTGAGTGATGTACTTTGCTACATCCCTGGCGTGAGGAACCAGGCTAGTAGGTCAGATAACCCTTTAGTAACTGCAGCTGGAGGGAGTGCTCTGCTGCTGCTGCTGCTTGAGACGTTGGGCTAGCCTGGTGCTTTCCTTTCCTTGTCACCACAAGCTCCCTGGAAACATTCTGCTGCAGCTTTCCAGTTGTGAAACAAGTTCTTTGTGCTCTACACGGAGAATGGCTAGAAAATGAACCTCTGGTTTCCAACATACGATCTTTCAAAACAGCTTTGGATCACAAGCGGACTGGTCTGGAATTGTAATGGGACTGCGTGCCCTTTTAGCGTTGAAAGGAGAAGTAAATCTGCTCTTTTGTAAATCCTGGGCTTTGTTGCTAAACACAGAAGGTGCCTATCCATGGCTCCAGGAGCCTTGACACAAAATCTGAAAGCAAAACGAATGTGCCTGCAGAATATCAAACTCTGTGCTCTCCCACACACACATTTTCCCCAAGGACCACCTCCACAGAAGCTTGCATAATAAATAACTTGCAGCTTGCAGGCGCTGAAGATCAATAGGTTTAATCTGTCAAGCTGGAAGGAGAGACTTGAAATAGATGGCCCTTCAAAGAACATGCTGCAGTCATCTCTCAGAAGTGTAGGGAGATGTTGCCCTGGAGCGGGTGGAAAGAGCAAGTTCTGCAGGGCTGGGCTTTGCTTTCTTCATGCAGCTCCGCAGTGCTTTCCAGAGTGCCAGCAAGTAGCCGTGTGTTGCTCTAGATGGTCTCCTTGCCACTTAAAAGGTTGATTTTTAAAATGCCGTTGAGCATTCGTCTTGAGAAGGGTATGAATAACAACAATGAATTTCTCATTAGCCAAATGCACTAAGTAACATGGGTTTTGTTGTCAGTCCTAGAGCCCACAGTTACAATCATGAACCATGAAACTGTATATGTAATTCTCAGAAATATCAGCAGTGATGGCCATCTTGTTGATCACTCCCCATCACTCCCTGCTTTTAGTCTCAAATGAACTGAATTTGCTACCTCATTAATACCATTTACTCTAGCCGCTTAGGGCAAGAGATAG